AACAACAACAACTTAATTTTAACACAAGTCTATAGAGACTGGATTTCCATTCATTCATTGTTGCACTTTTCTCCCTACCCACCCCTTCCCCACAATTCTCTCTTCTCTTTGAAAAGTAAAAGAAAAATTCTTTCATTGTTATACAATTCTTCCCCCGACCCCAGTCCACTCCACTATGCAGTCTTCATTCTGGACACCTGTCATTACAATAATACCTAATCATATACCCCTTTTAAACAGTTCTCTCCCCCATTTGTTTCAATGCAGTATACATTATTTATCCCATCTTTCTCAGTCTTCCCTCAACTCTAATCTGACTCTGGTATTAATGTTTTTTTATTAACAAAAGTCAGGATGATCTATTTTGACAATATGAAAAAGTAATATTTTCAAGTATATTGCCACTGAAAAATTATAAAACTTACCCAGGTGGATTACAAGATAGCTTGCCTTTACGATATTCCAAGAGAGTTAAGATGGTTTTAAATTTCATAAGCCAACTTCTAGCTCTTACATAGGTTGAAACATCATAGATACTCATGAATCTAAAACAAAGAAACACATATATGTGTTTTAATAAAAATAAATGCCAAGCTTGAGATAGAATAAAAAGATAAAATCCAAATCCTACTGCCTTTTAGTTAATTCATCAAGTTTCCAAGACAATGAATCTTAACAGAAGACTGCCTCATCTTTCTCCCTAAAAGTAGCTAGTGTGTTCAAACTGTTGACACTTGAACCACTTGATTGTTAATAAACTAACAAAGGACAAAATAGTTTATGCTCAACTTTCAATTAAATCAAAACAACCTACCCTCCAGAATCCAACTGCTTCACACAGAAGCCTTCAAACTGGAGACTTAGTCAGGATCCAACCAACTTCCAAATACAAAGGCCTGACCATCAGGTGTTGATTGATTTAAACAAAGATTTCAAGTTCATTTGGATTTAGTTAACAATCAGTTGTGGGCTGGAAGCCTCTTGTTTAAATGAATCAGGACCTGGTGGGTGGACCTTTGTATTTGGGGTACAGCACTTATCTGTCAGTTTGCTGTATACTAATATAACTTGGGGCTGCTGTGATACTAAAAGCTGTGTCAACGGTGTGTCAAATACCATAATGGTTAAACATGGTAGACAAGGTTTGGTAGAGCTCCCGGATTAAGACAGACATGGAAGCAGGAATGTCATCCACTTCTTAAATAACACACCTTTGAAACCCCTATGAACACTAGAGTAATGATGATAGTTATAAAATAGGGTTCAGATCTTTTGTTCATAGAGTATCTATGGGTCATACATACTCAACTCAGCGACACCTAACAGTAACTTAACCTACTATACCACCAGATCTCCAACATAGAAAAAATCTGTCCCTCTGCCCTCCAAAGCATGAAATCCCTCTCCAAGGACTGATCCCACCTTGAAACATGTCTAAAGTATGTCAGTTGAAGCTTCAGAATCCTTGCCTCCAAGGAACAGCCTGGCTTCACCCTCTCCAGGATGAATTTTTTTTGTTCTCTTAGCAGTTCTGAACTAAAGTAGAATATAATTAAAATTTCTCCAAGTCACTAGTTATTTGGGCCTTTGAATGACATTTTCCTTTGCCGTGCCATCTCTAACCAAAGTCTCTCCAAGACCCTGAAGACCCTGTCCTTTACAAACGTTTTCCCATGGTAAATCTCTTAGACAGATTATATACAATCTTAAGTACACAGCCAGAATCTCCGACCATTGAGCAAAGGTTGTGCCATAGTTTGTCTTGTATCAAGAAATCTGGAGAACAAGCACTTGGCCAACTGACTGGAAGAGATCTATATTTGTTCCCATTCCAAAGAAAGGTGACCCAACAGAGTGTGGAAACTATAGAACAGTATCATT